CCGCCATCAGACAGGTAATACAGGCGCAGGTTTCTGAGGCACTGCCGCCCGTCTCTCAGACAACACCTGTCACCGCGCCATTGACTTACGCTGCTGTTGCTGCTATGCCACCACGACCTTCACTTCGGCCGACTACCCAGCACCTCCACCACTCTGAAACGAGGTTTATTGGCACAAGTAGTACTTGCACAGCCGGTCTATTGATGCGGAAAGCGGGCGGCAGCAACGGACCCAGGAATCACAGCACTCGGGGCAAACGCTCGCGCTTGGCTCCTCTCGCTAAAGGCGTGACCCACTGCGGCACATAATCTTCTTCCTCTCTACATCATGATTGTGGGGCTTCAAATTCTAGATATCATTAAGGGTTTCGACTCCTCAGCTAAACGGTGTGTCAATTGTTACAGCGCTCTTAACCGAAGAGAATAAATTACACCGTAAAGCCGTTCTGACTGGCCTAGTTGCAAATCTGCTGCAAGCAGTTGACGTTACTTTTTTCTACATGGCCAGATTATATTATTTTATTACCTTCGGATCATCAACTTATGAGCTGAGCACCCAAACTGCTTGTACCACAGCGGTGGACCTGAAAGTATTACGTAGGCCAGAACGCAACAACGACAATATTACGTTTTACCCCTTAGGTCAAGTCACACTGTTATGCTAGCTTGCATATTCATTATTATGAAGGAAATATTGATTTACAGAAAAATATTTCACGGTGATTGTGCATTTAGGCCATGACGCATTGCGTCGCGGTATTCAAACAATGGGATGGGGGAAGTGTTAGGATTGGTCAAGACATAAGAGCGAAGGAAGACGAATGTTTGTACTAACAACCACGACTGGCGTAATAGCTGAGCGAACGATTTCCCGGAGCTATTGGTAGGAGTGTTTGTAGGAAATTCCGTGGCATCAACTGTTTAGCATCACGTGCGTGTGCGTGTTATTGTCTGCCAGGACAGTCACCAAACGCGCCGATGATTTTCTTACAAGGACGCATGGTGTTATCGTGTCCGGCACCGATAGCGTGTGAGCACTTCCTTTGTCGCTTTATTATTTTATCTTGACGTTTGTGTCACATGAGAGTACAGTCACGGTGTCAATAAGAGTCAGTACGAAAACACGTTGTGTGTGCTACGTTAGTTCAGTTATACAGTCAACAGCGTGGCACTATTTTTTTCTTTTTTATTGAAATTTCGAACGCTCAATTTTTATTCTACCGCCGTAGAATCATGAAGTTTCAAGCCGTCTCGCACTGTGCTCCACGTTTGTCACAGTCAAACACACAAACCGTATTTTCGCATTAGAAATGCGTCCATCTTGCATCATTTGATTGACTCTTCGCGTGATAGCCGTGACAACCTCATCAGTATGGCAGGTCACGTCGTTAGTTTTTATTTTAAAGACTAACCGAATAGAAAAACGTTTACAGTCAGACAGCTAAGCACAAATGAGTTGTGTGGTGTGAATTAGTACCGGCTATGAATAAGTGCTCCGCGTCAATTAGCTAATATCACTGGTCGCAAGCCTTCAGTCACTGAACTAGCGAAATGGGCTAGTCGAAAACCAAACAGATGCATACAGAAGAGTTTTCATGTTCTGTGCGAGTGTATTTTGACCATAAAGATAGATCGCCGGTAAATCGGCCTCAGTAAATTCGAAAATGTGGCAGCCATAATGGCTTGACTCTCTTCACTAAAGTAAACATAACAAATGAAACTCCCTTCAACTCATGAGATCCGAGGAGAAATTCTGACCTCTTATGTCTTGTTCACTCTTGGCAAACAACTTTCGGTACCTCCATATTTTACGTCAACAGACTTTAAAATATGATTCATTAATATTTATCATTTTACACATCTTTTTACCCGCAATATACGTGTGGTTCACATATATATACCCTTTAGTTTGATTAAGTTCCCCAAAATCTACATTTGGTTCACCTTTACACATAACGGTCACTTATCATTTGGCCCACAGTTGATATATTTATTCACTTCAATTAACATTGCATTCACCTGTAATTAACTTTGAAAATTACCCATACATAGCGTACAATTGCCTTGCGTCACGTTCGTTGTGATTAGATTTTTCAGCGCTGTACTTTCCAGTCATGACTCATGAGCCATATAACGAAACGACGTTTACGAACAGCTCAATTCACTGAGCTTACAACTCTTAATGAGATTGGCCTTGAATTTGTAAAAATTTTGCATCACATCAATAAACAATAAATGTGGCGTCTGTATTTGCCCTCGCGTGTAAGACATGCGTGGTCGGTGTCATGGACCTTCATCCACCAGGCTGCCCTTGACTCACATGAGTCACACTTTTTGCGTATCACACTGCTTTGGGAGCTTGAAAACATACCCACATTTCAACATGATTAAGAAAACGTTGCGCTGATAGTACAAGAATTCACAGATGCACAAGCTTGTGCATCTCTCAGGCCGCTGAGGTAGCTCAATGGTTAGAGCATCGAACGCGTTATTCGAAGCTTGTGCATCTGTGCAAAGACTGAACAATATGGCTTCAGGTAGTGAATAAATTGTGATAGTTGAAACGGTATATTCTACTCACCACCGTGTGTTACTGGTTATAGCGCTTGACAACCGAACAGAAGAATGAGGTATCAAATCCAAGCCGGCGTGGTCGCATTTTTATAGAGGAGAAATGCTAGAAACCCACGCCCTTCAAATAAAGTTCACGTTAAAGAATCCCAGGTGTTGATTTTCGAAGCCGTTCGCAATACTCTCTTTCTCATAATCACGCTATATGGACGTAAAACCCACAATAGTTATAGGCAAGATTCAGAATGTGTGAATGCATAAGAATGAGAGTATGGAGACATCGATATGCAAATAACCCGGAATCCCGTAATGAACGATCTATTTCTGTAGGGCTCCTAGCAGGAAATCCTATCTCTCATAATCATATGGTGGTTTTGGGACGTTAAACCCCACAAATCAATCAAAGTAGGAAATTCTATGGAATAAACCATTTAATACCACGTGTTGTATATACGTGCGCGTGTTTTTGTCCCGTCATAGGACAAAGTGACAATCAGCTTGTGTGCTGTTTCTTAGAATGACACACGGTGTTATTGTTTCGGGCGCTGATAGCGCGCAAGCGCTTCACCTTTTTATCAGTAAACAGACACTTGCACATATTTAGAAGCATGACGTCGATAAAGGCTGTACTTTCACTGCACGACGACCGGCTGAGTATTCTTCGTATATAAGCTCTGTTATTTTAGTCCGCTAGCTGTCACACGCGCTGTTCTTTTCTCTGCTTTTGTGGATTTAGGTCAGTGACCTTCCATCCTGCCGCACAAAGTATCTATCAAGGTCGAACTTTCTCGTGCTTTAGTAAGAGTTTGTCGTCCCCTCCGTGAAACATATGGAAGACACCACCGTTGGGCTTTTGTTTTAAAAATGCGCCGATTTAAGGAATGTTGACGATGAAACCAAGTAGCAAAGACATGTTGTGTGATATTGTTTAGTGCTGGCAAAGATTAACCACTTCATTACCATTCGTTGTTAAAACTGTTGCAAGCATCTTAGGCCACAATCCTCAAAAATATTGACGTGTCGAAAACCAAACCAGGCATATAGCACAATTTTTCTCCTTATGTGATGGCGTAAGAAAAAAGTCATGACAGTTGCTTGCAAAAGATTCGCAACTGGCGCAGTCAGAACGGCTTCATGGGTTAATTTAATCTTCTAAGTTAAAAGCGTTTTAACAATCGCCACTTCCTTTAGCTGAGGAGAGTATAGTCGAAATGCTTAATATCTGAGGTTTTAAGTCCGAAATCGTATGTGTATGAGAGCCACCGTCGTGGAGAGTCCGGAAATTTCGACCATCCAGTGGTGTTCTTGAACGTGCACTGAGATCGCACAGTACAGAAATCTCCATCATTTCGTCTCCATGTAAATGTGACCGCCAGGGCCGGGATCGAATCCACGACCTTCGGGTCAGCAGCCGAAAAGCATAACCGCGGCTCTACCAAGGCAGACACGAGTCCAAATCTTGTCCTTTCAGGCTCAATTCGATGTTGATTCACGACAATGGGCTCCATTTCATTCACTTTTCTTGTCCGAAACATTGACTCAGCACTGACGCACGTGTTAGCTTGTCAATCTCAATGGCTTCTCTTTTATCTGCCGCTTGAGTTTGTCGCCTCCTACCACCGTGACGGAGACGTGCGGGAGATATATACCTGTCTTGCGCAGTCCATGCAATCAGATGTCAGGTGAGATCAACGACGAAGGTGGCACTCGCATCAGTGCAGCTTCAGTGGTTCTCACAAGAAAAGAACTTTCACAATGTGCCGTCGTTTCTCCTTTCATCCTCGTGTTGCTGCGTTGTTTTGAAGATGAACTTTCATATCTTAAGGGCTAATCAGTTCGTGAAAATGACACTAGATGCCAACCTTTGCTAGATGCCTGTTGGCGCAACTGGTTATTTTTTTAGCCGTGAGCAGATGAATACAATTTTGAATTGTTAGTAGAGCGACGTTCTTGTCTGTCTTTTCCTTGTCCCTCGTTTTTAGGTTTCGCGGCTCAAACCACTGTTACCTGTGAACCAAACAACTGCGGTGAGAACCATGTAAACAATTCATTTTAATTTACGTTTCGTTCGCATTTATTTAATTTGAATTCTCGTCCGCAAAATGTAGGTGTATGCGCCACATACGACTTTTCGTACCTGTTCCTATTGTCGACGCTGGAAGCCATGTTTTCCGACTCATGGTGCGCCTGTGGTTTTCACCTACATAACGAAACTTTCCGAAAACAATGCTAAAGAACAATTCAGTTTAGCGCGCTTGCCATCCGTAATATGGCCGACCGCAAGTTTACTACTATTGATTCGCATAAGGACGAGAATAACAAGAGAATGACAAGCTTTAAACGCCGTCTCTGTCATATCTCGCGCGTGTATGACATTCACTCATATAAGGCGGGCTCACATCCTCCCCCAACAAGCTGCCCTTGACTCACATGAGAAGCGTCGCCAGTAGCAAGACCGAGAGAAGCAAGAGAGCACCCGTAACCAACATAGTCGCGTCCACGGGAAGTATAAACGAAGGCCCCGCTACTAACGCGCTTTTATGGCCTCCGGTGGCGAGAGGAAAAGCCGACAGCAGAAGACGCTTCTCCAGTTTGCCTATCTACCTCCTCCCCACTTTCGCTTTCACGCACATGCTGCTCGTGTCGGTCGCGCTGCTGCGTGCAAGTCGAGTGAAATATGTAGACTGTTAGCCGAAAATCGTACTTAGCTTCGGTTTTCTTACGATGTGCTTATGAGGCACTAAGTTGTTGTGAGCTCCGACAATATCTAGCACCTGGTGGTCTTTAAGCCACGCCTGAATCTCTGCCTTTCAGATGTCGCCTTCATCAAAATTTTGCCCATAACCGAACTCACGTCCTCTGGTTTCAGCAAACTTTGATGATTTAATCAGTCATCGAGAAACTGCTTATTGTGCCCACAAGAGTTTCTTTGATCTCTTATTTTTTTGCAGCACTAGCTTCAACTGTCCACACTGGTCTTTCTTCGCCTTGGATAGCAAATACAAGGCGTAGATTGTATTCTTTTTACGTGTCCTGTCCACACTCTTCTAGGGCAGTTTTCTCCGCTTCTCCTCTCCCTGAAGAATTGCAAGTAGGTGAATATATGCTGGCTCGTCATTCTGCTTTCAGCAAAGAGCTTTCCTTCTTTCCTTTCTGTTTCGACAGATCTTATGAGACGTGGTGCATAATTTTGAATAGAACTCATGTACTGCAGTCATTTAGTTCTATGTACAAAGACAAAAAATGGCATTGAAAAGTGCTTAGAATATAATGGTTGGAATAATTCGGTGCTTTTTTTTTCAAGGTGAACCTTTATTTGACATCGATAACCTTCCTCAAGGCGCTTCAGCGAGCTCTGAAACTACTGCTGCAAACGCTCTGCAATTGTAGGCGACGTCGCACCAGTGCGCGTCTTCGCAGAATCCCAAGGAAAGAGAAAACATCACTCGCTCGCGCTGAACCTTTGAGGGTCGTCATTTTCGCAACCTTGCGGACATAAATCGCTGTCAAAACCCATTAGCAACACTAATTCGGTTACTGCCTGAAGGTAAACAGAGCGCTTAGAGTCAGCCTTGTGAGTACAGCAATAAATCATGCCTCTTGCTACACGATGTCACGTGCACGGGTTGGATGCTCGAATGATCAAGTCTGAAGTTGCCATTTTATGCTTTCGTTTCGTTTTATGTTGTTTTCACACCAAGCGACACTCAGGTTTGCCGGGGAACGCTGCGCGCTCGAACGAGGAAATGAGAATCGTAACGACAGTCGACAGCAATTCGGCCCTGAAAACAGGTACGTCGGTACCGCGTTTCGTCATCGCGATCGCGTTCAGTATGGCCTAGAAGTTATGCACAACAGCAAAATAAAGCTGCAGAGCAAGTTGGACATGGGCGGAAAGGATTACGTGCGTGTATGCTGCATTTAACTTTTTCTCACTCAATGCATGGTGATCGAAGCTCTCCGAATATAGGTGATAGCAAAGGGAGAAGGGGAAGAAAGTGGAGATTGGATGGTGTTGGATGGTTGTGCCCGCCCTTAGTGTCTTGTCTTTGCAGCGTATTCTATTCATAAAAACCTTGTTGCGAATGGCTAGGAATAAGAGGGGGGGGGGGGGGGCATCGGTGTGACACATTGCCTCTTCCCCTACTATTATGAAACATCAGCCCCTCATCCCCTTGTAGTGAGGAGCCCTGCTCCCGCCTATATCATCTGCCAGGTAATAATGCCTTGAGGTGCAGTATGCAAGCGTTTATTGGCGAGCTTCCGGCTCTTTAGTGCAGACACCATGGTGACGGCGCTGTTGGAAAGTGGAAGTATAGCGCAAAAATAGAGAAAAGGACTGAAGCAGAGAAGACAAGGCGCTGAAATCGGAACTCGAGTTTACTGGAAGGAACACGCACACATATCAAGGAGAGGCCTGGGCAAGACAGGTTGCGCAACTTCTGGGCGACAGACCTGTCGACTGAACCCAGAAAATATATTACTTAAGATCAGTGCCATCCTATGTCAATAATTTTTTTTATTTTAATTAAAACCAACACCCTGCATAGCACGAGAACTGATATATTAAACATATTTAAGGACTCTGGCCACTGGATAAATTTCACCTGCGAGCTACCGGAAAAAGGACAGCTTCAGTTTCTAGATATTGGACTGCTCCTTCACGATGAGCTTTTGTCTTCGCTGTACAAGCTCCGATACGTAGAGGCCATCTTGCCATTTACCTCCAGCAATTCCATAATTTTTAGGTTTGGCATAGTTTATGCCACGCTGCGAGCTGCACTCTAGAAAACGTGCAAACATGCTATAAAATAAGGTTTCTTGAGCGAAATGGAAAGGCTGAAGTCGGCAGGCTGCACCTTAATTGGAGCACCCACATTTCTAACATCGCCTCTTCATATTTGAGAAAATTATGCCTTCGTCGCCACAAGCTTAACAATATACCCCATGACGTTTAACCTTTAGCATATACGACTCTCACCAGATGCAAATTAGAATACGGCTGCATCGTTTGGGATCCCTTCACCAAAACTAGCATTGATGATCTCGAAAGACTTCAGAGAAAATCCATGCCATTCTTTCTTTTCTCTAAATACAACCGCAATGACTCCGTTACTGAACTTTTACACCCCAACGGATTCAAAACTTTACAAACGAGGCATGAGATTTCCTGACTGAAGTTTCTTAATTACTTCTTCAATGGCAAATCTTTCGTAGATCCCAAACCTTACATAACCCTTTCTGAGACTAGGAAAACTCTCATTCACTCTCCCTCACACTCTCTCCTTATCTACCCAGACTCTTCAAGTATTCTTTCCTTCTCCAAACTATTGAAGTGTAGAACCTAACACCTTTTCATCATCTGGACTCACCTAAATTAATACAGGACTACATCCTCACTGTTTCCTAATCCTTTTGATTTTTAGTTGCTTGTTAGCTGTTTTTGTTTGAGACTTTCAATTGCGCATTTTACGTTTGCTAATTTTGTACTTTGCCACTCCTGCTTAGGCCAGATGGCCTGCAGTAAGTTGTAAATAAAAATAAATTAAACAAATAATACAGAAACCCTGATAGGCTGTCGAGAAAAATCACAGCACATCCACGGAGTGCATGATGATGAGGGGCGCGAAGCGTCTATCAGTCCGCTTGTTCTTGCTTTCGTTAGCCCGTGCGTCCGTCCATCCATGCATACGTCCGTGCATCTGTCTGTCTGTCCGTCCGTCTATCCGTCAGTCCATCTAGTGAACACTCCAAGTACCGCCATCTCACATCTTTTAATCATATATTCAGCATAGAGGTGGCACTCGCGCAATTTTTTACGGCCTGCACTTCGTGTCCACTTCCCACCTTTCACCGCCTTTAGTTCATGGCTATGTACTAGTCGACTATATTCATGGCAGTGTGGCCCAACCCTCGCTAAACCTTGCCAAAACCAAGAAGGTTACACCCAGCGAGTTTAACGTGGCAACCTTTTCTGGTCAGATGGTGCTCAAAGTGCGTCCTTCTGATACTAGTTTTTTTTAAGCATCAAATTCCAGGCAGATTTTGTAAGAGATTAAGTCACCAATACTCGCCGCTGTAAGTTATTTCATCAGACACAGCTATCTTTTTATGTAGGATTAGCGTGCGCGGGTTCCCTCCTCATCTAAAAAGGGAGCGCGCGTGCCGCTCCTCTAGTCGGGCTGTGGAGGTGGCTACTACTATGACGACTGCTACGTACATCGAGGATGCACGACCCACGGCGTAGGAAGCTTCGCCTCCAGAAATAATCAAGTGGGTCAACGGCGTAAATGATACGCGAATGATACATGCAGAAGAGCAGAGCACGTGCGCAATGAAAAGTGAGTAGTAGTGGTCCCCCACGTGCAAAAGGTTTCTCATTGCTTAAAGAATGCAACCAGTATAGGTGTGGAGGTATGTGGTACGACGTGTTGTAATGTCATCTCTCAAAAGGGTGCTCTCTGCTTGCTCCCGCTTGCATAGAAGTTCGGGTTCACGCAGGACCTGCTCGTTCTGTTCGGAGAAGAGAAAGGATAGGTATGTTGAATGTAAATATTCTGTTGTTCATAAGCTGCCATTATCACGCGAGTGGGGGAGGGTAGGCTATATAGGACAAACCGGATGGTGCATCAATGTGATACTAAGGGAACACTCAGCCTCATTATCTACTTCTGGTGGTTGGCACTTTCTAGCTCATTGCACGGAGTGTGGCTACCAGCCGGTGGCAGAGAAAAACACTTGTTTGTTTGGCCATCGGAACAAATGTGCAATAGAGGTGATGGAGGCATTTTACAGTAAAAGAGAAGGGGAAAGGTGCGGGAGTAAACCTGTGGGAGATGTGGCTTGGAGCAGCCTTAGAAGTACTCGATTTCGTCGATGTAGTTAAAAGAGTCTTTATTTACATGTATGAGGCCAGTTTGACCCTGCCAATAATCTGAGGATCCCGACCTTCCCCCGAGCTTCCTCGTACTTCTTCCTCTTCGTCTGGTGGTCCGCCAGCACTCGCGATAGAACTAACATTCCCGGCGGCGCAGCGAAGTCGGTCACGCAGTTTTAGTAGCTACAACTTGCGGGCAGGCCTTGTTACGATGACACCTTGTAATGTATCGCAGTAAAGTAACGGACGGCACCAGCTGAGCTTCTTAACTGAATGTTCTCTGAGATATTCTATAATTCTCGATGCTGACTTGTCGTGTCACCATGAGCCGTCTATTCTTCAAACTGCATGGTTCTTCATTTTGTCAAGCTTCTCTCTCCACTTGGTATGCAGACCGAGGATCTCTTTTGCCGCCGGCTCATGGCACTCGGCGATTATGTCAACGAGCCTCTCAGTCTGTCGCTTCACTCCGCCGCGGTGGTCTAGTGGCCAAGGTACTCGGCTGCTGACCCGCAGGTCGCGGGTTCAGATCCCGGCTGCGGGGGCTGCATCTCCGTTGAAGGCAGAAATGTTGCAGGCCCGTGTGCTCAGATTTGGGTGCACGTAAAGAACCGCACCC